ACAGTTTAGCTCAAGTAGCCCCAGAACAACTGCGCGAGGTATTCGCTGCGAGGAGCACTCGAGTTTCATTCTATCATGAAATCTGATTGGCCAAAGAGAAACAAAAGTCAATACGTCACAGAAATCGTTTCCTGGTTCGGGTTCGCAGACGTTATTTTCGGTGGAGATAAGCGACAGCCGGAAATACGTCTACGTTCGCAGGCTACTATGTCAGCCACCATGGTCATAAATAGGGCATCGAATTTTTGGCCTGGTCATAAATAGTGTAAAGAAAAATTGCAGATTTTAGTCATAAATAGGGTAAGGGTTTTGGGAAGCGGCCGCCGCACACCCCCATCAATTTTTTCTGGGAGTACCCCCTCCCCTTGTCGGGGGGGGGGGGGTTCAAAGGTTGGATAAAGCTATCCACCAGATAAATCGTTATCCAGTGGATAAGTATTAACGAAACAAACCACGCTACCCACTGGATATTGAATAATTTACCTGGTGGATAGCGTTATCCACCTTTCGAACAACCTGAGCTAGCAAACTAACCATTGGGTCACTACCCCTACCTTTCTGGTTTACCTTATTGAAATTCTTTACAGAGGCCAGGAAGCAAGCATTTCTGGAGAAATTTTATGAAAACAAAAGAAGATTTCTTTTGCTTCTCCCAGATGGTACTGGAAGCTGCTAGTATCCTTTTATGAAAGTTTAAGGGTGGCAATTTTCTTTTTAATGTGAAACTCGAGTGTACAGTTGGCCAGACAAATATATCAGATACCAAGTCTTACAAAATGCTCTTGGATTTTGTGGCTGTCTTTATGTTCATTTGAAACTCAAGAAATTCAGGGATGGAAACAGGAAATCAGGGGGAGGGGTCTTAGCAATTGTCATGAAAAGCTAGAGGGGGAGCAGGCGTACCCCTCCCCCCCCCTACTTGCTTTTGGAAAAATATTTAAAAGTCAAGGCTCACCGAGATGGTATTGCTTTCAACTGAGTAACTGTAAGGCTTTGAATGTAAGATCTAAAACAACACAGACAATAGAAGGGGGCTGTGGTCCTCTTAGCTTGTCAAAATCTGGTTGGGAACTTTAAGCAGAGGGGAGGGGTGTTAGTAGTCAGAGGTGTACACCCTGAAAGTTATATGGTTTGAAAAAGTCTGTTGCATAGGGGTTTCACTCAGCATTGCCTTTCATACAGTCTTGATGTCCATTCATCACATGGATTATTTCTTAACTTCATATCTCAGTTATCCAAGCGGTAACATTGCTGTGATGATAACTGCTACCGAAAAGGGAAAGTTTACATACATAGTATTTGATGTAAGTATACACATGTATCTCAGTCACGGGGTGCAGAAGCTGTAAAGAGCAAAGTTTTAGTTTTGTTACTCGATTTTCGTTGCATAGCAACGAATTTGGAACGAGCAATGAGCCCGCAGTTTTAGTAGCGGTCGGAACATGTAGCGCGTCAACGAAGACACGTGACACGCATGTCGATCACTCATTCAACCTCGATCAACGGAGGCAAAAGAGAGCGAGAGCCCGGGAACCAGGTTGGTCGATGACTCAGTACTCTTAGAAGTAAGAAAGGGATAATGCAAGGTGTAAACGAAAGGGAAAATCAACAAAGACCTAGCTAGAGGTCGCAAGGAAAACCGATATTAATGCCAAAATTCCTGCAGCGAAAAGTGGCCGATCATCGGCACTCGGTTTCAAGTTCCTTCAAGTTTCTGTTTTTCTTGAGTTTCTAAACGGTCCAAAATATATTCTTTAGCGCTTCCTTGTCGCGTAATTTGTCATCCAACAAACCCTTGCCTTCTTTTCGTACAATAAATCTACCAATCAAAAGAAACTGATAAACCTTACTTCCTGTCTTTTAAACCTCTGCGTTTTAGCAAATCACACTGTCTAAACGAAGTGTCACAGCGCCTTGTATTGGTATGCTAAAGCGCTTTTGTTTGTTCATGTTTACGATTAGTCTAATTTTCCTGAATATCTATCTGTCTACGTGAGTAAAAAAATTAATGTTTTGTTGTGGACAAATGGAAAATAACACGATTAATTTAATTTCAGAAATCCCGAAGATCACTGTTAAACTTTTATAGGAAAATCCTTTTGTTTTCATTATCGGCTCGATTATCAGCTTTAAGTTGGGTTGTGCTTTTTAATCTTCCATAGTTTTAGTTTTAATTTTCCTGAGTGACAGGAAAATGTTAAGAAAAGATCACTGTTTGCTCAACACCAGCCATACAAATACGAAAACTGATCCGAGATGACAAATTTTAATAAAAATCTTTAATTCCTAAGTCGCTTAATCGCGGCTTTGATCGCATAGTTTAGGAAACTTAATCAACTTGTTTCTGTACTGAATAGTGGTGAAAAACGATATTTGAAAACACTTGGGCTAACAAAGGAGATATGTGACATTT